GGCACTGTTAATTAATTATTATATTTATTTAATTTAATATTTTATGTAACATTTTTCGACCGTCTGTTTCGTACGTAGCAAAAGGCGCCCGTCAGAGCAGCTACATTTTATATGAGGATAACAATGGAAAGGATTTCATATTGTATTCTGTATTGTAAAATTACCTTTCTATTTTCTAATTAAATTTATTGTCAAGTACCAAAAGTCCGCGAAGACAGCTCTTTTTGTATTAAATTTAAATTGACGATATATCCAAATTATAATGCAACAATGAGTTGAGGTCCTTGAAAAAAAATTTCAAGAAAATAAAATTACTGTCTGGGAATTATTGGGCATTGCGTCAATGATTCTAAACAACTATTGCGATAACTTATTCTTACAAACAAAAATTTTCAATAAAAACATATACTAATTATGCGACCCTAATAAAATAATTAATTATTAATAAGAGCGAAATTAATCAAAGCGGTGCCAGCCCTGATCATAAATTCCCATAGTCAATACTGCACAGCAGGGGCGCCATACATTACACACACACACACACACACACACACGACATGCATGTGTGCGTGCTAGACAATGTTATGTGTATACATGTGTCATATGTCAAAAATGACGTGACTTTGACAGATATTCCAAGGACGTACGTACTTGAATAGTTTTTTTTTTCATAATGAAAAGAAACCTCTTTTCAAAGGAACTATTTCTTTGCTTGAATTTTTTTGTTGTAGGTATTTCGTTACGAAATTTTAAGTGAGTCCGCAAATATTGCTAGTAGTATTGGAATATATTATTGTATAATATTAACTTGATAATTTATTAAACGCTGACTGAAATATATGTTTGTTAGGTATATGTAAATCATTGTGAACTTAAAATGAAATTTCAATAATTTTACGAAATGAAGAAAATATATATTTATTAAAATATACAATATTTTATTAAAATAAACACATAGATATATGTAATGAATGTTAATATTTAAGTAGTACTTACTATAAATTGTCTGTTATTCCATAATAACAATAATTATGGTTCCATAATATAATACACGTATAATTTTTATCAAATTTAATTACTATTCTTAATATACATCAACATGTAATTTCGTTTTGCTTTTTTTTATTTATAGGGTTCTATCAATAAGGTTTTAATATTATTACTTAAATTTTATGTCATTTTTTTAGTTTTAAATATACATAATATTAAATACGAATTTTTAAGTATTTATATTAAAAAGTATAGTTTCTGTAAGTAATAGTATGTATACATAACCACATATAGCAATATTCAATACGTACGCAAGCATTGTAACGTACGCTTATAATTAAACTAGATTTTGCCCGCGGCTTTGGAAAATAAACTCTATATGACATTCTAATACATTAATAATAATTTATATGTATATATGGAATTACTATAAATTGATATATCTTTGTTTAGTACAATAAAATTTAAAATTCGAATTTCGAACTCAATTAATGAAGACAAAAGTCATAGTATGTTTTTTTTAAATAATTTATGGCCATTACGAAACTTACATATGTATGTTCTTAATTCAAAAATATTATTTAAATTAAAAAAAAAATACGTATCTCTAATAATGGCTACATAATAATTATATTTAATTATACATTAGTTAATATAAAAAGCGATTGTATTGAATTAAATTTATTTTAATCAAAATGTCTTTCGATGATAGCATTAAGAGAATAGAATTCGTTTTAACTTGTAATGGATTAACTTTAAATAGTCGATATATCGATTTTAGGAGGAAATGGAAAAATCGATTTTTATTTATATTTAATTTAATATGGTTTAATACTGATGCTATTGGTGGTATAATTTGGATGATAGTACGTCTTAATGAAGGCGGTACAATTGCTGAAGTAACTTATATGGCACCATGCGCTACTTTGACATATTTATCGCTTTTAAAAGCATTATTATTTATTTACTACGAAGATAATATATGCGATCTAGTATCGAGTTTAAGTGAATTGGATTATAAATATAATATTATTATTAGTGATGATATAGATTTTCTTCATTTTATTTTAAAATTATCTAAAATACTAAACGCTATGCTGTGTGTAGTTTTTTCGTGGAGTACATTGGTAGTGTCGTGTATATTCTATATCAAAGATGGCGTATTCGATGTTATTTTCCCGCTGAAAGTTGAATATCCGTTTCCGTTTGATCACAACGACGCTAGGCTGTGGCCTTTGATATACATACATCAGTTTTGGTCTGGTAATTATTTTTATTAATATTAATTTAAGTTTTAACATATTATACTTCATCCTTATTACCGTAATACGTGTTTTTATTTAAGCTGATTAATTAATTTGTAAAAATTAAGTTTTCATTATAACATTTTTTGTTGCAAATTCTTTTATATACTTATGTACTTACATTATATTTAAGTTATAACAATTTATAAGTATAAATCATCAACACTATTGTGAAAAATTTTTTGAATTGTTTGAACGAACAAAATAGTTTGAGGGACAGGAAGATATTATAAATTCTATCCTACTAATATTATAATTGCTAAAGTTTGTGAGTGTGTGTGTATGTTTGTTACTTCTTCACGCTCAAACGGCTCAACCGATTTTGATAAAATTTTGTATACAGGAAGCTGATATATCCAGGAATGACATACAGGCTACTTTAAATCCCGGAAATCGCAGGACGCAGCTAGTATATTAATATATTGAATTAGTTTATTTGATACGAGCTAAAACGTCTTAATAAATTCTTTGTTACTATTCATAGGTAGTATCGTGATGTCTTTAACACTATAAAGGCTTTCTTGACAAATATATCACACAGAAATATAATTATATTCACATATATTAGTTACTGAGATTCTAGCTATCAAACAAACAAACAAGCAAACATAACTTTATACATATATATATTTTTTTCAGTATGTCTCGTAATTTTCAACATCATCGGCCCAGATTACCTCCTCTACGTGTGTTGTACGTACATCAAAGTACAATACCGATTGTTAACAGAACAATTTTTAAGGACCATCAACCAAAATTATCATTTACACGAGAAGGAATTCAATGAAAGATGTATTCCACTGATTAAATGGCATCAGTCATTGATTGAGTGAGTTGAATTATATACTAGCTTCCGCCCGCAGCTTCGCCCGCGTGGAGTTCGGTTATATCGCGTTTCCAAGAGAACCTTTCAAAAGTCTGGGATAAAAACTATCCTATGTTCCTTCTCAAGATCAACTCTATTTCTGTACTAAATTTCATTAAAATCAGTTCAGTGGTTTAGGCGTGAAAGCGTAACAGACAGATACACAGAGTTACTTTCGCATTTATATTAGTAGGGATAACGTAAATTTAATAATAAAAAAAACTTATGTAGTCCATATGAAATTTATCTAGATTTTTCTTAATTTAGACAGCTATCACTATAAATAAGAAAAAGTGGAATAATGTATGTATTTTTGGATGTTTGTACACATGTCCCTCGACAACTAAGTACTAAACGGATTTTGATGAAACTTTATATTAATATTGCATTTTTGTTCGTTTATCTTAGATATTATTTAGATAAAGACCGAGTGAATGATATTAAGAATAAACTGTCAGCATATATGTTACTAATGTTATATTCATATATGTATAATTAATGAATTGAATGTTAAAGTATACATTACTAGGAGTGAATGATAAATGTTAAACAAACTTTACGCGAATATGTTAGTGAATTAAATATATGTATTAAATTGAATGATGAACGAGTGAATGATATAATTCCATATAAGAATATGTAACGAATTGCCAGTGAATGGTAAATGAAAACGAACTTTTAGTTATTTTCTTAGTATATTCAAAATTGAATGATAAAGAACGAATGAATGATATAATTTCGTATAAATATTTAATATATTTATAATTATTTTCAGATTAGCTGATAACTTGGAGTTCGTGTATACCAGATCAACTTTAAGCAATTTCCTTTCCAGTTCAATACTGATATGTCTGACTGGCTTCAATGTTGTTGTAATTATAACTTTATTACATATAATATTAAGGTTTAAATTACATTAATATATGATATGGATAAATTTAAATTGATGATTGATATTGAGAAAATTTAATACTTTGTAATAGCTACAATTAAATTAGACGAATGATGATTTAAAAATATACTTTTATACTAGCTGACCCGCCAAACATTGTTTTGCAATTAAAAAAAGGGGTTGTTGATAAAAAAGTAAAATTTTCGGGTTTTTCTATTTTTAATGATACATTATACAAAAATAAAAACAAAAAATTTGGTCCAAAAATTAAACAAACTAAAATGTGGCCGATTCTCAGTCCTCAGACCTACTCAATATGCTGATAAAATTTCATTACCAAAAAGAAATTCTTTATTATTCACTACACTTAACCTAGTCTAATAACTTTTCAGACATTTACTATTAAGAATAGGAAAATTTTAAGTTAAATGAAAAATCTCATTTGGCGCATTTCGATCTTTTAGAGTAACATAATTATTCTTAATTAATCTAATGATATAGTTAAAGATTTGAATTATTTGATTTTATTTTTTATTTAAATTAGTTAAACTTTCAGAATTCATAAAGTTCATTATTATTACACAGTATTTTGTATATGTACAGATAGTTATACATATATACATATATACCGATTTTGATGAAATTTTTTGTGTGCGTTCAATGGTTTAGATTCATAATGTTTTTTTAATTAATTTTTAACTTATTAGTAGGTGTTCATACAAACGTTTTTTTTGACATTAGATTTGACAACTAACTAATATGTCAATCATTCTGTGGCACTTCAAAACACGGAGATTTATGGCTTACAGGTAAACTCCAAAAATATAAAAAAAAACGTATGTAACAGATATTTCTTGATTATAGGGCGATACGAAGTTCGCCAGGTCTTCTAGTATATAAGTATATATATATATATACACATACATATATGTTTTATATATATTTCCAGTCAATGAAGAACGCAGCGGTAACGTTCATGTTCCTTGTGTTCCTCTCCTGTAACCTCGCACAGATATTCTTATTGTGTTACTTCGGAGATCTTGTTATGAAATCGGTATGTATAATATTGAGATCTTATCACATATATCGTGAACACGTAAAACTATCAGTACGTAGTTTAAGGATAACTCGTACTTAGTACTTTCATAATCATTTAATCCCTACTAATATTATAAATGCGAAAGTAACTCTGTCTGTCTGTTTGTTACGCTTTCACGCGTAAATCACAGAACTGATTTTAATGAAATTTCGTATAGAGATAGAGTTGACCTTGAGAAAGAACATATGATAGTTTTTATCCCAGACTTTTGAAAGGTTCTCTTGGAAACGCGATATAACCGAACTCCACGCGGGCGAAGCTGCGGCCGGAAAGCTAGTGTGGCTATAAATATACTGTTAACGCTACGTATGTAGTAATAATGCGAACTAAGGGTAATTATTATTTAAAATAAGTACTAAAAATATTTTCAGAGCATGGAAGTAAGTTCTTCTATATACAATAGTATGTGGTATAAAATGGACGCCAAGTCGACTAAAAGCCTTCTTATAGTACATTTTAGGTAAGGGAAAATTAAAGAAATGTTTATAAGTATATAAAAATTATTTTCACTATCAAGTTAAAATAATTTATGTATATTAGTGAAGACATGTATGTTTTAGCCAAAAGTAAAGGATCAAACGCATTTAACACTTTTTAACTTTGCTGTTTTCAATTTAAAAATAAACTAATGATTTTCGATATTCATATAACTAAACGAGACAGAATAATTCTATGCCTTATAGGTATATACATACCTATTTAATTTTTCTTGAGTATGTTATATTTTTAAAAAACTATATTTTTTGTAACTTACAAATGATTAAACAAACTAATAGAAAAATGCAAATTAAGAACAAAGTATGATTCTAATGTATGAGAGAATTAATGTAGAAATATATTATTTTTTACATATATAATAATTAAAATTTTATTAAGACTTTCACGTATATCAAAAGTTTTCTCTTAGTTGTATGTAGGTATATATTGTGATATATCACTATAATTATTATAAATATTATACATATATATGTGTGTGTGTGTGTCTGTTTGTATATAGGTCTCTCAAGCCGTGTAAACTGACAGCCTTCGGTTTCTCTGACGTGAGTCTCAAGTCCTTCATGAGCGTGAGTATAAACTATTAACCGATTACGAAATAGTAGTATTGTGTTATACCCACATTTATATGTTAACGTTTATCAAAAACAACTAATAAAATTCTGTAAGGCTATATTATATTTTACGCTTGGTATTCAATATAGATATATCTTGTTTGCAAAATATATTAAAATCCGAATTATTAACTTAGTCTTGCCATTGTTGCAATTTTATTCAACGCAACATTTATTACGGTTGCAGTTTTTTAGTTTAATATATTTATATATTGTTAAAATATAAAGCCTATTTTATGTGATATTAATTGGTTGCGATATAGTATGTTAAACGTTGGGTTATCAAATAATTTTAAATTTTAATTTGTATGGAAAGATTTTCTATCAAATACGGAAGAGATGTCAATGTGTTATGTACATATCAATAGCCCGATACAAAATGAAAATAATTAATTAACACAAAGAATACGTAAAAGTGCAATACATTGGTTTAAAAACAAAATATGTAGTATAAAACTTACAGATTCTAATATAAAAATTATTAGTTTATTTTTAATATCAATATTGTTTATCTTCAAACTTAGTACATATATCATATATGTATATTTTAATGACACTAATATTATTCGGATTACTAAGTTTATTTTAATATCTCGTCTGTCCGTGATCACGGTTGCTGAAAAGTAACCGAAACGTCTGGAGTATGTATAATAGTTCTAAAAACAAATAAAATACGTGTAGTAATTAAAAAATATTAGTTTCATTTAAATACTCGCGAAAGTTTTAGATCATTTTTTCTTGTTTATTTATTATTTTTATTATATATTACAGATTCTAAGCAGCGCGTGGTCCTATTTCGCTTTATTAAAGACTGTTGCGACTCCAACCAAAACCTGATAACATAACTAGTATGTGCTTCTAAATTAATAATATCTCTTAATCATTATACATATGTAGATGAGCACTTGATATAGTAATTTTACCCGACTGCTGCAAGGAGGGTTATGTTTTTGTTTTTATAGCACACGAAAGATTTTTGTTATTTATTTAATTTGAGAAATAAATAAAATTGTAGTTGAAAGGGTCTTTCATTTTTTTTTAAATACCTGACTTGTGTTAAGACGTTCCGTTTTTTGGACAAAATAATATTGTTATAAAATTTAATATATATATTATATGTAGGTACATCAGAAATCTTTAAGATTTTACGCAGAATTTGACACCAAACGTTTTTATTAAATAATAATGTTCATATGAGTTAGGAATAAAGAACATAAAGCTCAATGTACAACAACTTTAAACATAACATGTGAATAATTCAATCAAAATAAATATACACTTTTTAATGAAAACTTAAATCAATAATATTGTAAAATACTATTCATATAAGAAGTATTATAAATAAAAGATATGAGAGGCAGTGCCCTTATACTAGCAATATATACTACGGTCTACCGAAGAGATTATCTGTGCAGGTACGGCGTCACTCGAAAGAATATATTTACGATCTTGCGCCGGTCGCCTGTGCAAGTTCAAAAAACTGCACAGGTCTATTCACACATACCCACACACATTCCGGTCTACCTGCACAAGTATAAGGCCATACTCGCTACTTAAGAGGTAATCTGTGCAGGTATGCCTGTGCAAGTCAACCTAACAATTCTTTATGTGTATGCAGTCTTCAGTTCTTTTTGCAATGACATCGAATATGGAGTATAATATCGAATAGTCTTGCTTTAATTATGAACAAAAATGACACGAAAACAAACGAAGAAAGATGTGTAAACTAAGGTTATTGAAAAGGAAAATTATAGTTATGATAATTTATTAAAAGAATCAGATTTTAAATTATTTCGTTTCAAAACATCTCTCATGTTAATATATGCGTGCTCGGGAGTCAGGTTTCCTATTTCTGCTTCAAAAAGTAAATCATTTATAAGTTTTTCAGCTACTATCATTTGTTTTACATCCAAAGTTTTCAATTTCATTGCAATATTTCTTCCAATAATATCGCACCTATTTTCTTGTATTGTGCGAGGATGCGATTGATTTTGTACCGATTCCAATACTTCATCTCCTAAGCTTTCATATTTTCTTTTCGTTTTATAGGATTTTTTATTTGAGGATGTTGAACTACTCTCGTTGTCAATACATACGCTGTTTTCTTCAGCATTTGAAGAGTATTCAGTTTTGACTTCCTAAAATGATAAATTAAAAACTATAAATACAAAATAATTACATATTACATGTATTGGAGGTAAAAAAATATTAAGTATAAAATATTTTACTTCACAACTATTTTCGTCATAACTATCTAATTTATATGAATATTTCCTTGTAGTGTATTGATCATTAAGAAAGTTGAATAGATCGTAGTACCACAGTTTACTACGGTACATAGCTGATCCAGTCTTTAAAGATAGTTCATACTTCCTCTTTTCCTTCCTAACATTGCTTCTCAAGTTATTAATCTTCTTCACAACTATATCTCTATTCGAGTTCGGTTCAATTTCTCTCAATTTTTCTATAAGTAATTTATAAGCAGCGTCCTTTTTGTCTCGTAAATAGTAATCTTTGTTTTTAATTTGCCAAAGACACGGATTGCTTTTATAAATTTCAATAAAATCTTTGAGGATTTTTTTTGTTGAATCCGGTGGCGTCATTATGGCAATACTAGAAGACCCGGCGAACTTCGTAACGCTCTATAATGAAGAAATATCTATTACGTTTTTTTATTTATAGTTTTGGAGTTTACCTATTAAAGCCATAAATTTACGTGTTTTGAAGTGCGACAGAATGATTGACATATTAGTTAGTGGTCAAATCTAATGTCAAAACAACACGTTTGTATCAACAACTACTAATAAATTAAAAATGAATAAATAAAACATTGTCCAACGGACAAAATTGTGAATCTAAACCATTCCCAGACCCCCTTGAACACACACAAAAAATTTCATCAAAATCAGTCCAGTCGTTTGAGAGAAGTTCAGTGACATACACACTCACAGATGAATTATATATATAAAGATAATACGAGCGATGAGACAACCGTCCGAAAGAGACAGTAGAAAACAACTGACGCGACCTGCGCAGGCGACCGGAGTACACACACACACACACACACACACACACACACACACACACACACACACGTACGGTCTATACCCACACACATTCTGGTCTACCTGCACAAATTACCTCTCCGGTAGACCGTATCGTGTATGGCCGGCATTAGTGCGAGAAAAGCAAGAAGAAAATGTAAACGATAGCTTGCAAAAAAAGATCTATTAAATTATAATAAAGTTTTTCATATCTATATCATATAATTATAGGTTTTGAAAAATAGAACCCATTTAAAATGTAATTTTTTATCTAATTTCAAATTAGTAATACAAATTCCTAGTCGTATAACTTACTGCTATTAGTTGCATTGCAATAAATCAACAAGACATACTGATAAGGGTTTTAAGGCAGCTTTTAAGAATTATACGAATTTTATTTAAATGTACATTAATAAATACAATTTAAAAATGGAACACATTTAACACCCACAAAATAGAACCAATAAATAAGTTCTATTAAATTAAATGTACATTATAAATTTAAAAATGGAACACATTAACACTCACTAAAAAGCAACCAATAAATAGGTTCTATTAAAACCCAACAATCGTTCCAAATTCAAAAATCCAGTTCCAAAATATTCGATCATTTCAAAAATAGAACACCATTCTGTTCCGGTGTAAAGGTGATCTCTTTAATTCCTATACAGAAATAAATCACCTGGCTCACTCCTGTTACTTTTTACGTTGTTTGTGGTCGAATATTTTTTTTTCTTTTGCATGCAACAAGTTGCTGTTAGATTTTCTGAATTTCTATTCCATGTTTTGAGGATTTATGGTTGTTGATAAATTATAAACGTGATGATATTACTGGTGTAATTATTAACATGAGATTTTTTTTTTATTTCAAGGCTAAGGTCAACCATATGCTGCCAAGAATCAAAATAATTAAATTCAATGGGAATTAAGAATTAATATAAATTGTACTCAATGTTATCTTCTACTTGAATACTTCGTTTAATGTTTACTACAAATGACGTTAATGTAAATAGTTGTAAATTATTTAGTAACGCTATTTCCTTATCCGCCATTTTTAATGTCAATAAAACTTAAGTATCTTAGATATTAATGACTTTCAATAAACGAACCAGAAAATAACGTAATGATTATGCAACATATTATATGATAAAATTAAATAATAGATTCTTTTAACAAATTTTACTTCAACAACGTGAATTAAAAACGTAGAATAGAACGTAGTTTTTAAGTCTAGACGTAAATAGAGTAAACACGCCAACACGTGATGGTTTTGTTTTGCGTTTGTCATGTATCTTACCGGGAGGTTCAATGTAGGTAAAGAGATTTATTAATGAAAAGTTTACATACAAACAATATATATGATAATAAATAATGTATATATACATAATAATTTAGTATTGATAATAATTAAATTATTTATATATAAAAAAATCTTTCTATATATTACTTAATTGTGTTCAAATAACAATATAAGTATAAATTTGATATACCTAAAGTATTTCTAAAGGTCAATGACCTTATCGCAATTTAATTTTCTAGGTTTTTTTTATCAATTAACGTAGATAATATTATGAACACTAAATATTTTTGTTTACATCGTCCATGGCGTGTATAGCTTTACTATTAAATAATATAAATTCATTGTTATTCAAGGTAATACTCCGTTAGGTGAGATGTAAATTAGAATGTAATAAATGTACTTGACATAAAATTTAATACTTAATACTACAATGAAGGATTCGGTTTTTATATTTGTAACCTACTTTCCCGTTTCGACGGCATTATAATGAACACAATGGCTGAAATTGAGGTCGTACAATTTTATAATGACGTCACAATATATACTAGGAATTATTGAAACAAAAACTTATAAGCCACAACGAAAAAGCGCGGCAAACACACATAAATAGTCATTCAATTGTTTTTAGCGTTCTTAATTCAAATGTCATAAAACAATGTTGTTTAATAATTTCAACACAAAACAAGTTCTTACCTGATATAAATATCGTTTACAATCCGCCGTTGAACCTCCCGAACACCCCGGCCACTTGTTGCTACACCGCAATACGACTTGTACGGGACAATGTCAAAACTCAAAGCACAGCGAACTTTCCCGCCGCTATCTTTATTTTTTTTTTTGTTTTATTTGTCAACACTCAACTGTCACTCGCCTGTATTTTTTTTTAATTCGTTCAAACCAAAAAGGTTGCACGTATTCTCTATTTATGTATCAATTTTTCAGACCTCTTTTTATTTCTTACTTTTTCATTCAGATTTCAGACACACTGGTTGATTTAAAAAAAAAGTATATCAATTGGATATGTAGATTTATAAAAAACGATTCAGTGAAATAAAATTGAATACGTTAAAGAAAGTTAAATAAATTGTAAGCTTTAATGAAATTATAACTAAATTATTAATTTAATGGGATTTTAATTTATGATTTATCTTATTATTATCTTAAAATTCACAATGTTATTGGATGAATTTTAAAATTAAACAATTTTAGTCCAGTATTAATGTAAATTACAAATCCATTATATTTTATAATATTTATACTGTTAACATTTTCAATATTATAAAACGAATATACAAAATTTAAACAATAGTGAAATTTAATATAAATTTATAATGAATGCTTGGAAATTTATAAAGTTTTGAACACAACGGGATTTGTAATGAGACACTGATGACCCAACATCGTTCGTTACCTGTAAACTGAATGTTTCAAACCATAATAATAATTCCCTCACCTCAACTATCAAAATCAAAAGCTATAATCAACAGCCTATCATAAAAATAACACGCATTTATTTGTTTCGGCAGTTTTAAAAACTTATTAAAATGTTTCTGCCTTAAGGCGAAACGTTTAAATCCGTATAAAACCTCGCATCAGGTAGAAAACACATAGAACCCCAAAAAGGTTAACGTTTCCTGGAAATATTAGTTTTTACGCTTCTCATATTTATGGGATATTCAATCTTATTGTATAGTAAATAAAAACTATATTATGCCATTTCATATTTTTAACTTAATATGACGGTTATTTCGGGAATCGTAGTGCTTTGTGAGAATCTATTTTCCATCGGTTCTATTCATTATTATATTGCATTCGCCGCCACTTCTTAGTAGTATGCTGTTTAAAACGGTGCAGGGATTATATAAAAAAAGGAATATTACGCCCACACGTAATATTTATTGCACGTAATTTGATGCTCAAGTCAAATATATATTGGTATACTTCATGCATTGTATAAAATCTAAAATTTAAAGTAATTATAACAAATATCATAGCTAATGAAAGTAATCAAGCATCCGCTTACGATAAGGCAAGATACTTTGACACAACACTGTTGATAATAATAAATAATTATGCAATAGTTAGCTTGACCTTATTTTATTTGTTACTAGAAGACCTGGCGAACTTCGTATCGCCCTATAATCAAAAAGTTTCTATTACGTTTTTTTATTTATATTTTTGGAGTTTATTTGTAAGTCATAAATCTCCGTGTTTTGAAGTGCGACAGAATGATTGACATATTAGTTAGTTGTCAAATCTAATGTCAAAAAAACCGTTTGTATGGGAAATAGAAAAGGGCTGTTTTTATGGTTGTCCCAGTAATGAATCAATTTTTTTCAGCTTTTATACTTTCCCTGAACCTCCACGAACATTTCAAGACTAAGATAAGATAAATCCGTTCAGCTGTTCTCGAGTTTTAGCGAGACTAAGGAACAGCAATCCATTTTTATATATATAGAAGATTAATGATAAAAAGTAAAGTTTTCATTTATAAACAAAACACTCCCATATTATCACAATCTGTTAAAAATATTTATTATTTTAGCGCTAAACATATATTGTTAACATATTATAAACACATGATTTATTAAAAACAGATTCTTTAAATTATTATCTCATACTATTTCTAAAATGTGAAGCAATACAAGAGTTGTAGCATTTCTTACTAATCTGTGTAAATGTCGATAAAACAGTCACGGACTCAGTGGCGCCAGTGCCGTTTTACCGACGCCTGTTAACTGTCATGGCGAATAGTGGTGTACGTTGTGCACATTAAAACATAAATAATGATTCTTAGAAATAATATACTTGTTATATGCGATAAAAAATCTCGTGCCTTTTGTAAAATATCATGATTAATGTGTAATAAATATAGATTAGGTGTAAGGTGTTAAAATGGACAAGAAAAATGCCATTCGGAGAGGCAAAAGGCCATCCAAAGTGCTCGAAGAAAATTATTGGGATTGTAGCGTTTGTACATACAGAAATAACGCGGAGGCCTTCAAGTGTTCGATGTGTGACGTTAGAAAAGGTAAAAGATTTATAAATTAACACATTTACAACCCACAGTCTTCATATAAATACATTAATTATGCCTTTTCATTTCACCGAACGAAATTCTTTTGATAACAGTGCATGTTTAATAATTACTGGGTCGAGAAAAATTTGCATTAGTTTGTACCGTTACATAAATTATGCATAACCTTAAAAGTAAGGCAAGCAGTATTGATTTCTTGTTACAATGTACTGTGCTTAGTAAGAATTGGTTGAGATATATATACTTATACGTAATTTTTTATATTAATATATATTAGCAGTTGTATAATGATAGTCATTTTAATTTATAATGAGCTCAAATTTCGACTGAGTTTCATCACAAAATATAATTAAAATATTATTAATATAATTATTATAACATTATTATAAACTAAATGTGTTTTAATATGTTTGTAAAATGAAAGTAAACAAATCTTATTAAGTATTTAGTACCGATACCGTCCGTCGTACACATGGCGCTAGCATCGCGGCTAATATAACCCGACTAAATAAAATAGTTGACAAAAATATCTTAGTTCCATTATACGACTACTTTTTAATTTGTCCGTATAATAACCGTTGAACTTTCTCACACTAGCACATGTAAAATTGTAAATTTTAAACTCAAATTTATACGTTAAAATTCAGGTTGTATATATTAAGAAACGAAGTTTTTCCCACAGCACTCTTATTTATATTATGATAAACTTAAATGTTTTAATTTAACGTACAGTATATAATTATTAATTACTTTCACTTAAAAGTATTTATCACTAATTCATACATACTATGTACCGTATTTTCTTTATACATAATACATTTCAGTAATATTTTGTGTCATATAAAATCTTTTAACGTTAATTACAGACAAGCGTTCAAATAATCGCTCGTCTATCGTTCACAAATAAAAAAAACGCGTTTTGATTGTACTAAGTATACGTGAGTTATCAATTAGTATGGAAAGTTAGTATAAACTGTTTATTAGTAAGGAAAAGTATGAACTTCTTGTATTTGTGTAGTATATAAGGCTTCGGTAGTAAATATTTATCTATACATATATTCTTATGTATAAAATTCTCGTGTCGCGGTGTCAGACAGAGAATTGCTCCGAAACGGCTGGACCGATTTTGATGAAATTTTGTGAGCATATTGAGTAGGTCTGAGAATCGGCCAACATCTATTTTTCATACCCCTAAGTCATAAGGGTTGTTCACCTCTGATTTTTTAATATATTTTGGACGAATTTTTATATTATTTTTTTTATAGTGTAGCTTTAGAAATGCATACAACCCTAAATTTTTACTTTTTTATCACCAACCTCTATTTTTTATATTTTATCTTCTATACATATACAGGGTGACTGGTGAATTACTATCGATATTTGAGGACGTGATATTTGACGATCATATATGACAAAAAAAAAATAATATGACATAAATATTAATAAACTTCTAAGTAAAGTTAACCAAAAGTTATGTAATTAATTACGCATCGTGTGAACACCCTACAGATTAGGTATACACACACACACACATACGTGCGCGGCGGCGTGTTGTTGTATCAGCACGCGTCCACACATGTAACACTTGGAACGTGTACACACTTTATTTATTTATACTGAAATTTTGTCAAAAATTAAGTACCTATATTTTTTTTACATAATTCGAATGAGAATCATGTACCGAGTATGCTCCTTAAATATTGATAGTAATTCACCAGTCACCCTGTATAAAAAATGGATTGCTGTTCCTTAGTCTCGCTAAAACTCGAGAACAGCTGAACGGATTTATCTTATCTTAGTCTTGAAATGTTTGTGGAGGTTCAGGGAAGGTATAAAAGCTGAAAAAAAAAAATTGATTCATTACTGGGAAAACCATAAGGCCTCGGTCTCGAATTTTGCGGGAAGCGGAGCGGCAGCGGGAGCGGCAGGATCTTACGCGTATAATCAAATGGACCGACCCTCGAATACAGCGGTGCCCGCTGCCCGCTAGTTTGGAGAACAGTATGCGTTGCCGTGCCGCCGCCGCCGCCGCTCCGCTGCCCGCAAAATTCGAGGCCGAGGCCTAAAAACAGCCCTTTTCTATTTTCCATACAAAGGTTTTTTTTAGACATTACATTTGACAACTAACTAATATGTCAATCATTCTGTCGCACTTCAGAACACGTAGATTTATGTCTTTAATAGGTAAACTCCAAAAATATAAATAATAAAACGTAACAGATATTTGTTGATTATAGAGCGATACGAAGTTCGCCGGGTCTTCTAGTTATTTTATATTAAAACAACGTTTGCCGGGTCATCTAGTGTATATGTGTATAAATAATATAACGGACAATCGTCATTACATCAGAAATATACTTATAAACTATCATTCAGAACGTTATAAATGTAAAAGAATATAAAACAATTATATTTATAATTATATTATCTGTTTGTCTCTACGTTTGCGATAATCTATGAAATGAATAAACCAATTTGGATGTGGTTTCGACTAATGTATTTTGATAAGGTAGTGAAAAGAATTTTATTAACCCATATATCTTCAAATAAAAATAAATAATTTCGTTTCTTTTTAATTTTAACTATTTTCATACATAAGTATCTTATATAAATATTCAAAGTAATGTATATATATTATGTATAAGTCTAGACTAGTGTATAGAGCAGTCAGACTTGCGCGCTTCATCATGGGCCCATCGATTTTCAAACCGGGCTGGCTCGGACGGGATGCTAATATAACATAGAATAAATATACATATATTTATATATATATAGAAACTAGAAAATACTTTGAAAAGAATTCATATGTATTATAGATTTTTTGCATTCAATGGTGTAAAGCGTCTGCGATACTGTTAAAATCAACGTTAAAAAGCGTATTATTATTTTATATTTATTATTACAGAAATTCATATAACATTATGAAAACCCTTTTTTTATACAATATCAGAGCTTATAAGAAGACATCGGGTTTAACTTAACTTAAACTAACCAAAAGTTAACTTATTAACATTACATTTACGTGAAAATAAATAAAATTTTAAAATGTCAAAAAATAGTAAATGACTAGTAGGTACATGAATGTTTTAGATACAATTTATATTTTATGATAAATAAACATATATAAATGTTTTACATATAATATATATATGTAGTATATATGTATAATAGCATTGACAGAGTTAATGGGAATTTTGTGTCGCTACAGTGAGAGGAAATTGAATCTCGTCTCACTACGACCTGCTTTGATATAGTTCCTGGTACTATATGTATATATATAAATTTTAATACATCTAGTATGTAAAAATAATATAATAATATTATTTAATGAATACTTTAACGTACTTCGTATAAACATGCTTACGTAATAACACTGCTAATACAATTTAACACTTACTACTGTTTGTATTAAAACTAACATAAAAGAGGTGAATATGTATTAAAATAATATTAACGATATTCATATAATATAGTCAGTTGTGGTCTAGTTTTTATAAGGCCCGCCTCTCATACACGAGGGCGCGAGTTCGATTCTGGCCCTAGCAAGTATCAATGTAATTTTTCCGAGTCATATGTACTTTCTAAGAGTATTTAGACATCACTGATTAATGCATTCCCAAAGAGGGTTGATGTCAGGCAGGCGGCCGGTCGTAAAAACAATTAGTCAAAACTATTCACAACATGTAAAGCAGACCCTGGCTAAAGCTGGGGAATTGCCAGGTAGAAGATGATATTAATATCAGTATCCTAAGTATTAGTTTTCATCGTGATATTATATACTGAGCGTACACCGTTTATCTCGTACCAGCTTTCCGCCCGCAGCTTCGCCCGCGTGAAGTTCGGTTATATCGCGTTTCCAAGAGAACCTTTCAAAAGTCTGGGATAAAAACTATCCTATGTTCTTTCTCAAGGTCAACTCTATGTCTGTACCAAATTTCATTAAAATCAGTTCAGTGGTTTAGGCGTGAAAGCGTAACAGACAGACAGAGTTACTTTCGCATTTATAATATTAGTATTGATTTATTGTTAAGTACTCGTGTTAATATATATCTCTTCTCTACCAAATTGTACATTTATCTTTTCTTTATTTTTGTTTTATTCCTAATAAATATAAATTAATATATATGTATATATAAGGTACATCAACCCGCAAGCCTCGCCTTAACCCGGCGCTAGTGGCTGCCCAAGCGGCGGGTACAGCTACCAGCTCACAGAAGAGACCCAGGTCTTCTTCCCTCAAGAAGAAGAGGAGGCCGCCACGATTGAACAACGTGGATAGAAGTTCCGCGCAAACCAGGGAGGTATGAACATGTATATATAATACGATTAACATAGAGCTATGTATCTGATAGATGTGGCGACGTTATAAGGCTACCACAGATTTATGTTAGACCAGGCAGGTATAAATATGTATTATGTATATATATTTAATAATAGTTTTTGGCCGCGACTTAGTACTTTGTAGTATTAATTTCGGAATTACGTAGTAATATATGTATAGCAGACCGGGCGAACTGTATTCCTCTCTAGAGGCTCGTAAATAACCAGATAGAATTCATTAAGTTAGAATTCATTAAGTTTTTTTTTTTTAATATTAATTCAGATAGAATTCATTAAGTTTTTTTTCTTTTTTCGAAGAACAGAATTAAATATCCTATGTCCGTCTCCTGGTTCTAATCTATCTCTCCACCAATTTTCAACCATATCCCTACAGTCGTTCTTGAGTTATAAATAGTGTAACTAACACGACTTCCTTTTATGTATAATGATATAAATATAGATTTATGTATCTTATAGATTTGCCAATTTTATTATAGTACAGTTGCCCACATTTTTATACTAATGTTAACGTAATCTTTGTTAGGTTTTATATTTGGTTACAATAGTCTTGTTGTTTATAAAATTATTTACAGTTTAGAGTACGTAGATTTCAGATGTAAATATGCATATATTAAATTGTAATGTCTTAAAAACGTTTGTATTTTATTAATTACGAGACAGTTTTCTTATTTATATTCACAATATTATGTTTTAAAGTAATTCTATGTTCGCCAGGTGACTGTGAGCGGGGTGACGGTCGTCATAACTGAATACAAGCCTAAGAAGTCTGTCACGAGCAGCTCCAGTGATATGGAGTCATCTAACGACGCGCGACCTTGATCTCTATATATAAAAATGTCTGTACGTAACAAAAAAATAATTATCACGACCTCTCTAAACTTAAATAACTCTGTGGTATAAAAATAACAATGTCCAGTATATTTAACTTATCACGACCTCTCTAAACTTCAATAGCTCTATGGCATTTGTTTTAAATTGTCGTGTTCTAAAGATTCCATTTTTGAAATGCTGTCAAAAATGACATTAAAACCACAGAGCTCTGTAAGTTTAGAAGCGGCGGTAATCATTAATATGTTATACGAAGAGTTACAAACGTACAGACAGTATAGAAAAATTCACAACTAGCTGTAGTCTCATATTGTGTTAGTGTAGTCTTACGATTTTCGGTTCAGTAATATTTATTTGAATATTAAAGTAATTTATATTTAATTAGCTCGCGTACGGATTGCTTTTGAATAATTTATTCGATATTAAATTTTGTATTTATTCTATTGATATGTAAATTTTATGTAATATTGTAGTTTAATACCGCGCGATGTAAATAGTGGAGGGGATGTGCGGACTTGTAAATAAAATGAAATCAGTACTGAATAAAAAAACTTAGTGACAATGGAAATAAATTAATTGTTTTATTTTATATATAAGGACTTTGGAATTATTTTTGGCTGTATCAATAAACAAATGACGCACAATAAAAAACAATAAATTGATATTTTTTTTAATTCACATGAAATTCAATTTATTATCTGTATTAATTTTTGTATTTTTAATATAAAATCGGTAATTGTGTTCACATTGAAGTAAGTATTTATTATTAGCCTAAGTTTTATTAAGATTTAAGTTATTTATATAATATTTTCATACATTTCTTAATCTTTTAATTTATTTAATTTTTATGTTCATTTTTTGTAGTTAGAATTGTATATGTTTCGTTTTAATTAATAAGTATGACAATTAGTTTCTTCGTATTTTCTTTCTCTGTCATATAACAGGGGCCTTATTTAGATGTATATATAAATATATTTTAGTATGGGTGTATGTTTTATATAACCGAGGTGTCCGTGTGTCTGTTCGTCCCTCGTAACTCGTGAACCATAACTGTTTGTTATTTACTTGTAAGTTATTTGTACATAAACATTATGGATTCCATGTAGCGTTTTATTTAATTACCTTATATATGTAATTATATACCCACCTTTATATATATACTAGCTTTCCGCCCGCAGCTTCGCCCGCGTGGAGTTCGGTTATATCGCGTTTCCAAGAGAACCTTTCAAAAGTCTGGGATAAAAACTATCCTATGTTATATCTCAAGGTCAACTCTATCTCTGTACCAAATTTTATTAAAATCAGTTCAGTGGTTTAGTCGTGAAAGCGTAACAGACAGACAGTTATTTTCGCATTTATAACATTAGTAGGGATATACTTATAGGTATATAAATATTATAATTGTTATGAATACATATATTTTGGAAAATATCTCAAGCTTTATTTTGTCCAAAGTTACGTTAATGATATAAAATAAGTTATAATTACGATAATATATTTTTGTATTGAATATTACAATAAACATAAAAATATGAAAATAAAACATGAGTGATGTTGTATTGAATTCATTTTCATTATATTTATAAATTAAATAAAACCAGTAGATACTTAAAATAAAAATTTAAAGTATATTTTTAATTATGTAAATATTATATATAACATTTATTTCTTATGACAATACTAGTATTCATCTTTAGTAAGAGTTAATAGTGTAGAACTCAATACTTACAGTCTCTAGTATTTCGTCCATATTCTTATAATGCAGTCTTTCCCAAAGTGACCGATAGCAAAAAGTGGAAAAAATAGCAGTTATGTATAGAGGCGTGTGGGATGATTAGTAATTTCATTTAGCTAATATAAGTTATAGTAGTTTAGTAATAACTGGAAAATGGGAGCGTTAAAAAAGAAATTATTCTCAAAGTTTCAGTAAGCAAAATAAGTTTGGGAACCTCTGAATTGTGTTTATATCATGTGAAAAATAAATTAGAGGAATATCTATGCATCGTGCGTGTTTCAATATTCAAGATTTGGTGACATACTAAAATCTCACTACACATCACAGCTCCTGGTAGGTATATCTCTGAATCTCTTCTTCTACCTGTCAATTTCCCAGCTTTAACCAGGGTCTGCCTTACATGTTGGTAATAATTTTGGCTATTAGTTTTTACGACCGGCCGCCTGCCTGACATCAACCCTCTTTGGGAATGCATTAATCAGTGATGTCTAAATACTCTTAGAAAGTACATATGACTCGGAAAAATCACATTAGTACTTGCCAGGATCGAACCCGCGCCCACATGTATGAGAGGCGGGCCTCTTAATCACTGGGCCACCACTGACTTAAACCAGGACCTGTAGGTATATCTATGAATCTATATCTATGAATCTATATATCTATATATCTATATCTCCAGTGCAGTATGCATACCTATTAATACTGTAGGATTTAATCAAGTCGGAATGAAAAATGCTTGCGGCCTTACGGTGTAACGACAACATACAAATATTATAATTAAGATGAAGAAAAATATATTAATATTATTTATATTAAAATACATATATAATGGTTTAATTAATTTTATTATTAACTTTCTTAAATAAATTTTGACTTTAATTCGAGTCATTTATTTTAAGTAGATATATTATGTGTTAATTTAAAGGTATTTATTTATTTTTATAGATACAATTTATTCGTATTTTATGTAAATACAAGTTCAATATATATAATTTATAGCGTTTGTTTGCCGACCGTACGAGGGTGGGAGCGCAAAGGGTTGCAATAATGAAAATAATGAAAAATAGCCCTCCCCGGGAACGTATTAGAGAAGCCGCTACCTCGAGCGGACACGCACACACACACACATACACACACACATAATACATATACCTATAATTATTTTAATTATATTAATTTATATTTGTTTCTGGTGACTGATTTATATCCTTTTTAATATGATTGAATTTCAATATCTTACTAATATATTTTTTTTAAATTAATTCAACAGTTTCATATACATATCGATATTTCCCACGTAAGTTGTACCTCCAAAACTGTAAATTTATAGCAGAGCGATTCAAAATAAACCAAAATCTGCAAAATTTGTAAATTACATTAGGTAAGCCTCTAACAAATCCTTTAAAAATATTGTTTTTGTTGTTTTTTTACTATGAATGGATATAATGATCTATAATAGGATATTTTTCATAAAAAAAAGCTAAATAGCATTTTTGTGGCTTACAACAACTTACGTGGGAGGTATCGATATATGTATTTCTAAAATACATTTTTAGTTTTTATCTTTATAGAAGAGTAACAATATAGTTAATTAATATCATTATTTTATTTTTATGTTTATTTCAACTTTGATAATAAAATAATCTTATTTTATTTAGAAATGAAATCAAATGAAAATAAGGTGTTTTATATATAATTTATGTTACAACCTACTAAGTACATACATATATTATTAAAAATTATATGTACATTTATATAAAAAAACTTTAAACTTTTTAGAGTCCCAGGCTTATAATACTATGTTTAATACAAGTTTTCATCGTCACACTACATACGTATAGTTTCCCGTTTCTCATTCAATACTCCGTTAATACTATAATGTATAGATTTATGAATGACAAACTGTTAACGATACGTATGTAGTGACGATGAGAACTTGTATTAAAGATACCAACTGATAATATTTAAGTATGTTATTATATGTATAACAATATATAATTATTTAAGTTTAATAATTTAAATTGATATATTAATAAAAATCTTTTAAATCATACAGCGTATTTATTTTCCTTGATCCTAATGTTTTATGTAACATAGGTATATTTTCTTCTTCTTCCTGCCAATTTCCCAGCTTAGCCAGGGTCTGCCATATATCATATATATTATATCTAACTGTCTGTTTCATCGAATTAATTAAGTATTATTACTGAAACGAAAATTCATATAATATAAGTAAAAATATTTTTTTTAATCCTCTTCATACATATAAATACACTCTTATCTTCATGATGATTTACTAAATATATATAAGTATTTGTAATACTTAATTGGATTCGACATACAAAAGTACCTACAACTAAAACCTCTTGTATATTATTTACACATATTTAAAAAAAGCTAAAAAACAATTTACAATCAAACATTTGTTATAGAACTAATTTCTACTAAATACCAATAAAATTTCCTTTAACAATTGTATTACAAATAAAGTAATCTAATATTCTCTAATATATTATTCTAAATATTATAATATATATAATTATTGAAACTTTTTTGTATAACGTTATATTTCTGTATTTCATACCCTTTTCAACCTCGACGCTATAAAACTTTTTACACCGGCCCATCAAAAAAAAAAAAACATCCAATCATTTTTGAATATGGAACACTCCAACTAACGATTCACGAAAATAACATTTTGAGTGGAAAGTATCAATCCTGATTATAGGGTTTTAATATATTTATAACACATAGTTTGCATATAAAAACATTTTTAGAATTAATATATTAAGTAGTAGAATTTTTTAAATATTTTTCCTTTTTAAAAATTTAAACCTACGAAACCAAAGAAATACCAAGGAGATTTTAAATATAGGGACCTACTTAAAGAAAAAGCATTAAAATCATTCAACTTGTAGCCAGAAAAGAAATTAAAAAAACAATAATATTTAAAAATGAATCTTTCATATCCATCAAACATTTGAATTTGGAACGTCACCAACCTGACATTCCAAAATTCAAATTTGGAACATAAACAAATGTATGAGAAGCCCGCCGTTCGTAGGTCCAAGACGGTAAAAAAACTATATACCTACTTAACTGTACTTATAGAGGGCCGTACGAAAGTTACTGTTATCTTGGCATATCCTCTCTAGGCAGCGCGTCCATAAAGTAACACATTTATTATCTCAAACCCGACGAACAACGCTATACGGTACTTGATGGGCGCTCCGCTCCCCCCTCGCTGCTATTGTTA